TGCTTCCACTTGACGCCTGTCTTCTGTGTGGTCGTGGTATTTCACCGGGCGAGCCGGGACAATTCGTGTGAAGATGTTAAAGCGGGCTCTACCACTGTCAGGTACACTAAATATTAGATCTTATAGCCAGTTTAGAGGTTAATAGTTACCGTAACCTACCGATTGACAATCTCTGTGCGACAGATGTGACGCTGAGTGTGCCACGACCGCAGTAGTACTCTGCAGATGACAGCTGAGGATCTCCAGTTCTTGATATCAGCAGGCGATCCATTGAACACATGTTACTCTAGAAAGTTAACAATTGTAAAATTGACATATAACTGTCCTTGTCTTTTTCTATGACAATGAGAGAGATGAAACGTTGTGTACATAGAAAAACAAAAGACTGCCGAAACAACCGAATCTGTATTTTGGCATTGTTTTTGTTTTTTTTTTTAACAGGAGTTTTTGGCGGGAATGTAATCAGCAAAGAGTAGATATGTAGAAAGACGGTATACTTTTATTTTTAGGACGTAAGTATGCATTCAGGGGTTAAATCACTTGACTAGAGCGTCGGTGGCTCAGGAGTTAAAGCACTTGACTTGTAATCTGCAGATCCTGGGTTCGAATTCTGCAACAAGCTGCACATATCTGCGAAAAAATTCAAAGATATGTGTGAAGTCAACTCGCACTGGGCCAGCGTGGTTGACTATGGTCTAGTCACACCAAACTTAGGATAGGCTCTGAGCACCTCGGTGGGGCCGTATACTGAGCTGATGATGAAGTATGCATTGATTTTTGCCTCTCTATATCGGTCAGACTGTCTGTCCGTTTGTCTTGTACCCTGGAATATTATACGGTTCATCAATTTACCTGGGGCAGATTAACTTCGGGGCAGTCTAGCCTGCAGTTGTACCCAGCGGGGCAAATTCCAATCCACCGGCACTGCACCCCCGGGGTATAATTGCGGGGATAGCCCGGGCTGTACACGTAGTACATGCGATTTGCTTGCACCTAATATAAGATTAATATTAAGTTTATAAAAAAATACATGCGACAGAGAAGAGGTAGATAATAAAGAAAATTAACACGTTCACTGCCATCGACTGGCTTGGTGATTTTGTTTTCATAATTCTATAAAATCGTAGTGGCATTGAAAGTGTTAATTATCAAGTTTTTAAACAAAAATTATAAAAAATTACATTACGAAGTGTGATACAATGGTTTGAAAGAGTAATAAGATAATTTAGTTTAAGCTTACATTTTGTGTAAAATCACAATTAGGATTTTGCGCGTGGCCGTAGTTTATAACAGCAAGTAGAACACATAAAGTTGTTAATATCATCTGAAAAAAATAATAGAGCTGAATAGATATAGACAGGACAAATATTAAAAGTAATCATCAACCTGCCCTTATTCCTATTGAGGGTCGGCACAGTATGTACTCCAAACATATCTATCAGCCGTCATATCTGAATTTACACCCTTACGCATATCCTCTTTCACACAATCCATCCATACTTTCTTTGGTCTTCCTCTACCATTGTAGTAATAAAAAAAGAAAATAAAATTATTTTCGCAAACGAAACTTAATTATTTAATGAGGCACCTTTAAGGGTGACTGTCTGATACGTCTTAAATGAAAATTAAGAAATATTTATTTTTAAAAACAATTGCATATCTGCACTGATAAATAGCAATCAATCGATTTAATATTTATCGATAAAATTATATTTACTTCGATGATTTAGAAAGCGATTGTTTATAATTTCGTTAATCAATGTATTATATTGAAAATTAAATTTTGTTATTTACGCTATATCTTACATCTTACTTATGTAATGCGAATGTTTAGATGGATGTTTGATTGTAGGTATCTCCAAAACAGTTGAACGGATCACGATGAAATTTGACATAGATGTAGAACATAATCTGGAAAACACATAGGCTTTTTAAAAATTCAGCTAACGTGTAATTCATATAAGATATTAAATATGTAGTTTTTATTTATTAACAATTTAAATTTTTCTAATCTTATATATAAAATTCTCGTGTCACAATTTTCGTACCTTTCTCCTCCGAAACGGCTTGACCGATTCTCATGAAATTTTGTGAGCATATTGAGTAGGTCTGAGAATCGGCCAATATCTATTTTTAATCCCGCGCGGACGGAGTCGCGGGCGACATCTAGTCTTTATATATATAATTATTCTGTGAGTGTGTGTCACTGAACTTCTCTCAAACGACTGGACCGATTTTGATGAAATTTTTTGTGTGTGTTCAAGGGGATCTGGGAATGGTTTAGATTCACAATTTTGTCCGCTGGACAATGTTTTTTTAATTAATTTTTAATTTATTAGTAGTTGTTGATTTTGGAATGTTTTACATTGGATCCGACAGACGGCGCTACCATCGCAGTGTCAAATTTTAAATAATATTCGTATTTTAATTTTAGCTTATTAAAAAAAGTTTGAAATTTTCAAATTTCAAGACGTGTAGACAGGACAACGTCTGTCGGGTCCGTTAGTAATCCTATAAAATCATGGGCACAATACTTTTTATACTTATTGAAATTTATTTTCAAACTTATATACACATTTAGTGAGTTTATTACAATAGTGAACTAGTTTCAAATCTTGATAAGTAGGGACATGTTTGTGATGGCACAAATACTTTTCTCTAGGTCATTAGCATACCGATGTTTACTTATACACTTGGACGATTTTAAATCATTGTTAAAAAAGTATTTAATAGTATTAAAACATATTGTTATCACTGTTGGATGACGAGATTATCAGCGAATTATCAGCGAGAAATTTAAAAAAAACTTAATTAGTAACCTATGGGTTCTTCCAGGCTATGTTCTCTTTTTTATAGTAAAAGGGGGCAAACGAGCAACAAATCGCCTAAAATTATTTGATCCGACGCCAATGAACATCCGCAACGTCAGAGGAATCGCAGAGTGTACGCTCTTTTCTTGAAAGCCCCTAAGTCGTCTCTATGACAAATTTCATCGTAATCTATGCAGCCGTTCTGGAGATACCGTTTAAAATATCCAGCCATCTATCTATCCAAGCATTCGTAGTAAGATTTTAGTCTTAACCAACGCTTAGTCTATATGCTATGATACCATTAAATGGCTCTACAATCCAGACTAAAAAAAATAATTCTAAAATAAGTGCTAGTTGCGTAAATAATATAATATAATAGTATAAATTTACTATTTATATGTTTTATGTAGTTAATTTCTTTACCTTGTTTAAGTGATGTAAAAATCGTCAATAACAATTTTTAAAAATGAAACTTTTTATTTACTTATATTGTAAACCACCAAAACATTTAACTTTTATTTAAAAAAAAAAAAAAAAA